ACATTGTACATTGAACTTCGAATAGGCAGAAAGTAGTGTTGTGTTGAAGACCACCTAAAGCGAGACCGATTCAAGACCAAGACCAGAGCAAATCGAGTCCGAGTCAAGACCAAGACCGGAGAGGGGGGGGGCGAGACCGAGTCAAGACCGAGACCGGGAGGGGGACAAGGGGTCAAGACTGAGACCATGATTGTAATTTTGTCAAATCACCACCATAATCAGAGTTCAGAATGTTCAGTATTTCTATGTTCATATTTAAGAAGAACATATGGATTCTTTAGACATTCAGAATGGTGAGAAAATGCGTGCTGAGGGCAAGTAGAGCCACTCTACAAATGATTACCAACCCAAACAGAATGGGGAACAATGAGGACCTTCTACACCTTCTACAATTCTAATTATATTATTATTTTCAGTGATGTTATAATTTAATCGCTTCAGTTTTTGTTGGAAAGAAAAGTGTTAACACTGAAGAGACTAAAATATCTAATCAGGATTTTTCTTTGGTGGTCTCAGTGGAGATAAATCTAGCTGGCTAAATCAGCCATTGGCTAGGCCATCAGAAGCTAGATAGAAGTCATCTGCCGTTCAACTGTATTAGGGCAGAAGTTTGGAGAGACAGATGAACCAATCACATTATGACTTGTAATGGGTTGGCCCATTTTTACAAAAACGTATAGAAACTTCTGCCTTCTCGAAGGCCAACAGGTCACTGCGCAATAGCAAGCAGTAGTTTTCCCACGGTCTAGCTAGCTAGCTTTTGTTGTAGGCTAGTTTGCAGTGGCTGCAGCAGGTGTTATCGAAGAGGAAGTTGTTGCTAGTTTGTTAGCTTCTCACTTTTCAAGAATAACTTTCAACAAGAAGTTACGTTTCAAATTATCGTCATCTGGTGAGTGGAACTATATTTTTTTTATTGCAGCTCGCTTGTGGTTGTTAGCCATCTCTTTGAAAATGACCTGTGTGAAACATTGTTGCATTTAATTTTGATCACTGGTTATTTTATGTGTTAAACGTGAAATGTTTTTTGCAATGGGTAGTAATAGTTGTACATTTCGATGGGGAAATGCTTAGCCTAAGGTTGTATTTTTGTATTCTTATGATTGGTACCTACTGGCTTATTATGTCCTTTAACATCAGTGGTGTAGTAGTGCCTGGATAACTTTTCCTATAGATTTTTCAGATTTTCACTCTCAAAATCACACTTTTTCATTTTGAAAAATGACAAGAATGTGATGTAAGTCCACAACCAGGCTTAAACCACATCGGGAGACCATTTTTGAGTTCTGGGAAAAAATAAAAAATAAAAAAATATATTTTTGGAGGTTGTAGTTGCCCCTTAATTCAATTGAGCAAAACAATTGCACTCCCCATTGATACAAAATCAGCATGATACACTATATATACAAAAGTATGTGGACACCCCATCAAATTAGTGGATTCGTCTATTTCAGCCACACCTGTGTATAAAATCAAGCACACAGCCATGCAATCTCCATAGACAAACATTTGCAGTAGAATTACCTTACTGAAGAGCTCAGTGACATTCAACGTGGGGCCATCATAGGATGCCGCCATTCCAACAAGTCAGTTCATCAAATTTCTGCCTGTTAGAGCTTCCCCGGTCAACTGTAAGTGCTGTTATTGTGAAGTGGAAATGTCTAGGAGCAACAACAGCTCAGCCGCGAAGTGGTAGGCCACACAAGCTCCCAGAACGGGACCGCCGAGTGCTGAAGCGCATAGTGCATAAAAATCATCTGTCCTCGGTTGCAACACTCACTACCGAGTTCCAAACTGCCTCTGGAAGCAACGTCAGCACAAGAACTGTTCATCTGGAGCTTCATGAAATGGGTTTCCATGGCAGAGAAGACGCACACAAGCCTAAGATCACCATGCGCAATGCCGAGCGTCGGCTGGAGTGGTGTAAATCTCGCCGCCATTGGACTCTGGAGCAGTGGAAATGCGTTCTCTGGAGTGATGAATCACGCTTCACCATCTGGCAGTCCGACGGACAAATCTGGGTTTGGCGGATGCCAGGAGAACGCTACCTGCCCCAATGCATAGTGCCAACTGTAAAGTTTGGTGGAGGAGGAATAATGGTCTTGGGCTGTTTTTCATGGTTCGGGCTAGACCCGTCAGTTCCAGTGAAGGGAAATCTTAACGCTACAGCATACAATGACATTCTAGACGATTCTGTGCTTCCAACTTTGTGGCAACAGTTTGGGGAAGGCCCTTTCCTGTTTCAGCATGACAATGCCCCCGTGCACGAAGCGAGGTCTATACAGAAATTGTTTGTTGAGATCGGTGTGGAAGAACTTGACTGGCCTGCACAGAGCTCTGACCTCAACCCCATCGAACACCTTTGGGATGAATGGAACGCCGACTGCGATCCAGGCCTAATCGCCCAACATCAGTGCCCGACCTCACTAATGCTCTTGTGGCTGAATGGAAGCAAGTCCCCGCAGCAATGTTCCAACATCTAGTGGAAAGCCTTCCCAGAAGAGTGGAGGCTGTTATAGCAGCAAAGGGCGGACCAACTCCATATTAATTCCAAGGATTTTGGAATGAGATGTTCGACAAGCACGTGTCCACATACTTTTGGTTATGTAGTGTATCATTCTGTCAGGTAGGCCTACTTTGCAGTAAACATTTAATTGGGACGTTTTTTTTGGTAAGGCCTTTAGAAATGTCCATGCAAACAGCGCAAGATGACTGAATTGCATATCGCAAATAGCCTACTAACCAAGACTTTGGACTAAACATTTTCATTACCTGGTTTGAATACCCATTGTTGCCTTAGTTAGCATTTACTGGTATATATCATAAGTTGAAACGTCTTTCCTACCTACCCTATCGGCCACCGATGTCATTCTTCTGTGAGCTGCTCCATGCAACAACCAGTTAAGAGCTGCGTGCTCTTGCTGCCTGCAGATGATATTCCGCTGAAGCAAGGCTATGTGTGCGGCGTGCAAGTGAATATATTTCACTCGCTTTGCGATTGTGTAGGCTACATTGTGCATGATTTCTCTATTGTACTACATAATTGGTAAGTCGTATACTTCCAGTACACTACTTTGATACGCATCTGTGTGGATTAGAAAGTGAGTATATGCAATGCTAGTGAGTGCCACAGGAGGTTGGTGGCACCTTAAATGGGGAGGATGGGCTCGTGGTAATGGCTGGAGCGGTCTCGGGAAGAAATTACGAGTCCTCACTGTCCGAGACTGAGTCAAGACAGAGTAAAAATGTATCCGAGACAAGACAGAGACACTCAATATGTCGTCTGGAGTATGTGGTCTCCAGACCGGTCTTGAGTACTACAACACTGGCAGAAAGGGCTTTGCGGTTTCAGTCCCTAATCCCTTACACCCCATGTTATCGAAGAGTTTGTCTTTTATGTTAACTCAGCAGCATAGACATTCCTCGCGATGGTGACTCTTACACAGTGAAATGTGACTTGTTTCAGGAAACTAGGCGTATGTCGCGCGTCACTACTTCACAGGAGAGGCATTTGAACATTATTTTATTTATTTTATAAAAATGTGTTTTTGGGCAGAAATGCCTTCTGGAACATGTGAACTTTTATGTGCCTTAAAAACGAACTTGTATGCCATCTGTAAATACGAATAAAATTGTTAAATTACGAGCCTAGTTGGTTTAGCCACGGAAAAAGACAGGAACCTTCCCGCTAGCCATGATTGGCTGAGATATTGGATGGGCTGGACATGCCGAGCGATGAGTTCAGATTGGTCTGCCATGTAGCACCCTTCTGTCTATAACATGAGATGCTTAGTATGTGTAGGTAATCCTTTCTAGTGGCTTTTTTAAAAATATATCACAAAGAACTGCACAAGTGTTGCCAAGGCTCTCCACTTTCTGGAGGACCGAGTTTTGAAATCAGTGGAATGCCCAGTGGAAGCAGAGTATTATAGCTAAGGAGATTCAGGCGTTTGATTGCAAATGCGGAGGCGGTCGAAAAGAGAACACAGAAGGCTGTTGTATAAAACACCTGTCTGGATTACATCTTCAAACTAAGGGCAACCATGGCATCCGTGACAGAGATGGAGAAGCGTTCCTCCATGCATATGGTTAAGAGAGTCTGGCTAGCTACATTTTCAGATATTATACGTTTCAAATTTTGTCAGAAAGTCATTTTCATTGCATAAAGTTAAAGTGTACTGTTAGCTAGCTAGCTAACGTTAGCTCGCTGGTTGGCTCACTAGCTAACATTACGTGTATGATCTGTGTAGTAATGTTATTCGTATCTCAGAGCCATTTGCATTGCTAGTTATAGCCTAATGTTAGCTAGCTAGCTAACATTGAACCTAGCTAGTTGGTTAGCCTTAGCTACCTGTAGATTCATGCAGGGTAGTAACGTTATGAGTTGGGATTATGGTTCATTGTTTAGCTAGCTAGCTAGCTACATGTCTAAACAAAAGACTCCATTATGCAAGTAACCATTTCACTGTATCGTTTACACCTGCTTTTAGTTGCCTGGTTTGCTAGATTGACATATACTAAATTAATTTTTAAACGGATGGATGTATTGGTGTTAAAATGCACCAGTTACGCTATTTTGGACCTCCAGGCTGCTGATGTCATGCAGCCTGTTGTTTTTGTGTTTATACTTTTTCATAACGATGTCGGACGACAATAGAATGTTCATGATGTCACTGTGACTACTGTATACAGACATGTCGATAGAAGTAGTATAAACCAGCCTTTAGTCTTGAAATCTTTGGTTGTACACTACCATACTCACTGTTTCGCACATGGCCTCACACGTGAAAGAGATGGGTGGGGCTAAGGCTTAAGAGGGTGTGAACGATGCTGAATGGGTGTAGACAAAAAAGAGCTCTCCAGAAGGTGTCCCAAAACATTCAAGGGCCATTTTCTCAAAAGTTTATCAACTTTCAAAGCAGAATTACTTTCCCATTTGTCTAGCTCTGAGTCTACTGAGTCTACTTTTATCCAATGTAAAAAACACAATTTCAAATGTTGCTACATAAGACCGAATCAAGGCGGTCAGTCACAAATAGACTCTCTTTACATGAGGCTCAGATCTCACTCTCATTCCTCCGTGTCCTTATAAGAGGTTTAACAGGGTAAAAACACGAACGGTTACAGTAACTACCTGTCATCAATCAGTTATGACGTGTTGGCACGTAGGGAAACAGCTGTACGGAGACAATCAACTGTTCCTCTGAGCACAGGGGAAGGAAAGCCCTTTGGTGGCAGAGACTCCACCCACCCACTCTCTCTCAGATATGTTTTTTATCCCCTCAGAGCTTCCAGGAATCAATAACACCAATGATCTCCAGCCGCTACCACTAGTTAGCTGGGAGGAAAGCCGCTGATTTCAGCCGAGCTCTGCCATCTAAAGGGCCCCACCACTCCCAGTGGGGATTCCAGGATGTCTGGATGGCTGGAGAAAGGCCTGGGCTGCATGCCGTTGCCTGCCATCCCGTTCCCACCACCGCCACCACTGTCCTCCTCCATCCCAGGGTGCATCCTGCCAGAAGCCGAGAGCAGCCGTATGTCGGAGTGTGCGTTGGCCACTGTGTGGCGTCGGACTCCTCCCCCCTTCTCCAGGTAGGCTTCCCCCTCCTGCTCCACTAGGGGCGCTAGAGAGGAGGAGTCTGAGGCATGATGATGAGTAACAGTGATCTCTGGTTGTGCCACACCTCCTAACCTGGAAAGTGGTGCACGGGATTCTAGGGATAGAGGAAGAGGGAAACACCTGTTTGAAAAGTAATACAGTCAACTGTTTGAGCATTTCTCTGCTGTTGTTGAAAGTAATACAGTCAACTCCTGATGAGTACGCATTGGATAAATGCAATGCAATGTAGTTCACCAGTCCTAATTCAAGAACAATTGTTAAAGGCCCAGTGCAGTCAAAATTATGTTTTTCCTGTTTTCTTCTATCATATTGCACAACAGCTGATGAAACTAACACTGCAACATATTATTTTTATCAATGTTATTTCCTGATACAGTGCCTTCAGAAAGTATTCATACCCCCTGACTTATTTCCCATTTTGTTGTGTTACAGCGTGAATTCAAAATGGATTAAATATGTAATTTTTCTCTCCCATCTACACACAAAATCCCATAATGACAAAGATGCGTATGAGCCAATCAGTTGTGTTGTGACAAGGTAGGGGTGGTATACAGAAGATAGCCCTATTTGGTAAAAGACCAAGTCCATATTATGTCAAGAACAGCTCAAATAAGCAAAGAGAAACGACAGTCCATCATTACTTTAAGACATGAAGGTCAGTCAATACGGAAAATATCAAGAACTTTGAAAGTTTCTTCAAGTGCAGTCGCAAAAACCATCAAGCGCTATGATGAAACTGGCTCTCATGAGGACGGCCACAGGAATGGAAGACCCAGAGTTACCTCTGCTGCAGAGGATAAGTTCATTAGAGTTACCAGCCTCAGAAATTGCAGCCCAAATAAATGCTTCACAGAGTTCAAGTCACAGACACATCTGAACATCAACTGTTCAGAGGGGACTGTGTGAATCAGGCCTTCATGGTTGAATTGCTGCAAAGAAACCACTACTAAAGGACACCAATAAGAAGAAGAGACCTGCTTGGGCCAAGAAACATGAGCAATGGACATTAGACCGGTTGACATTTGTCCTTTGGTCTGGAGTCCAAATTGGAGATTTTTGGTTCCAACCGCTGTGTCTTTGTGAAACGCGGTGTGGGTGAATGGATGATCTCCGCATGTGTAGTACCCACCGTAAAGCATGGAGGAGGAGGTGTTATGGTGTGGGGGTGCTTTGCTGGTGACACTGTCTGTGATTGATTTAGAATTCATGGCACACTTAACCAGCATGGCTACCACAGTATTCTGTAGCGATATGCCATCCCATCTGGTTTGGGCTTAGTGGGACTATCATTTGTTTTTCAACAGGACAATGACCCAACACACCTCCAGGCTGTGTAAGGGCTATTTTACCAATCCCCCGACCTCAACCACATTGAGATGGTTTGGGATGAGTCGGACAGCAGAGTGAAGGAAAAGCAGCCAACAAGTGCTCAGCATATGTGGAAACTCCTTCAAGACTGTTGGAAAAGCATTCCAGGTGAAGCTGGTTGAGAGAATGCAAAGAGTGTGCAAAGCTGTCATCAAGGCAAATGGTGGCTATTTGAAGAATCTCAAATATAAAATATGTTTTGATTTGTTTAACACTTTTTTGGTTACTACAAGATTCCATATGTTATTTCATAGTTTTGATGTCTTCACTATTATTCTACAATGTAGAAAATAGTAAAAAATTAAGAAAAACCCTTGAATGAGTAGGTGTCCAAACTTTTAACTGGTACTGTAAGTATTCACACCCCTGAGTCAATACTTTGTAGAAGCACCTTAGGCAGCGATACAGCTGTGAGTCTTTCTGGGGAAGTCTCTAAGAGCTTTCCACATCTGGAATGTACAACATTTGCCCATTATTATTTTCAAAATTCTTCAAGCTCTGTCAAATTGGTTGTTGATCATTGCTAGACAACCATTTACAGTCTTGCCATAGATTTTCAAGTAGATTTAAGTCAAAACCTAACTCGCCACTCAGGAACATTCACTGTCTTTTTGGTAAGCAACTCCAGTGTAGATTTGGCATTATGTTTTAGGTTATTGTCCTGCTGAAAGGTGAATTCATCTCCCAGTGTCTGGTGGAAAGCAGACTCAACCAGGTTTTCCTCTAGGATTTTGCCTGTGCTTAGCTCAATTCTATTTATTTTTATCCTGAAAAACTCCCCAGTCCTTAACGATTACAAGCATACCCATAACATGATGCAGCTACCACTATGCTTGAAAATATGTAGAGTGGTACGCAGTAATGTGTTTTATTGGATTTGCCTCAAACATAAGACTTTGTATTCAGGACAGAAAGTGCTTTGCCACATTTTTTGCAGTATTACTTTAGTGCCTTGTTGCAAACAGGATGCATGTTTTGAAATATTTTTTGTCTGTACAAGCTTCCTTCTTTTCACTCTGTCAATTAGGTTAGTATTGTGAAGTAAGTACAATGTTGTTGATCCGTCCTCAGTTTTCTCCTATCACAGCCATTAAACTCTGTAACTGTTTTAAAGTCACCATTGGCATCATGGTTCAATCCCTGAGCAGTTTCGTTCCTCTCCGGCAACTGAGTTAGGAAGGACGCCTGTATCTTTGTAGTGACTGGGTGTATTTATACACCATCCAAAGTGTAATTAATAACTTCACCATGCTCAAAGGGAAATTCAATGTCTGCCTTTTTATTTTTACCCATCTACTAATAGGTGCCCTTCTTTGTGAGGCATTGGAAAACCTCCCTGGTCTTTGTGGTTGAATCTGTGTTTGAAATTCACTGCTTGACTGAGAGACCATACAGGTAATTACATGTGTGGGGTACAGAGATGAGTAGTCATTCAAAAATAATGTAAAAGTCCATGCAACTTATTATGTGACTTGTTAAGCATATGTTTACTCCTGAACTTACTTAGGCCTGCCATAACAAAGTGGTTGAATACTTATTGACTCAAGACATTTTTTATTAATTTGTACAAATTCCGAAAAACATTATTCCACTTTGACATTATGGGGTATTGTGTGTAGGCCAGTGACCAAAACAATCTCAATTTAAATTCAGGCTGTAACACAACAAAATGTGGAAAAAGTCAAGGGGTGTGAATACTTTCTGAAGGCACTATAGTTGCTGGTTGAAACTATAATTTACACAGGACCTTTTAATCAGCAGGTTTGCATGGGCAGGAGTTTCGGCTTTTCATGGTGACATCACCATGAGGTAAATTGGTTAACAGACCAATAACAAAGAGAGTTCCAAACCTCTCTGCCAATAACCGCTAGTTTTCCCTTTCCCACTCAGACCACTCCCACAGTCCTAGCAAAATACTTACTTGCGAAAAGTTTTTTTGCTAAAAAGCTATTTTGGCCAATTTTAATGGAAATCTATTACAGTAAGGTACTTAATTGTTACCCTGAAATTATTTGATATTGATATAAAAACGGCTGCATATGGCCTTTAATTACTCAGGGATATCTGCATGCTCTAGTTTAGTGCATGCTGTCACGACCATGCCAAGCCATTTCATTTATCAGGTTGACTGTAAATGGCAATCATAGAAACAACCACAAGGGAAGGGAAGAAAGTGCAAGAAAGAGAGTGTATGTGCTAGCCAGTTTCAGGCCAGTGGGATAAGAAATGTGATCAAATGCAGATTTGCAGGCTCTGGTGTTGTTTTTGATGTGGTGGATTTGTCGTGCCATAGAAGCCTAGTTAGAGTTTTCAGGGTTTATTTCCCCTCATGGAGCCTGGGGGCCACGGTAAGGGGATCACACATTCTCCTTCTTATTACAAACCTGGTAAAATTGCTGTGTATGCTTACTTCTTTTGAAAACAAGTACTATTTTACTCTTTTTTTAAACTGTTCATTATTGTTCAAAATACGATAGGATTAAAAATTTAAATAAACACATCATCTTACTTCTTATCTACAATACGTGGGACCAAAGCTTATACTATGTTTTGTTGTGACCCAGGCCACTCACCTACGAAGCAGTTGGTGTTGCTAACGTGGAGGACGTTCCCCAGGTAAGGCGAGATGACTATCTCAACCAATCCCTCTAGCTGATAGTACTCTTGACTGGGCCCGTTAGGCTCATGGATGCCCTGTGGATAGATACAATGACAGAAACATGGACAGATACACTGTGAGTAAGCATGGGATGGTGCTCAACACAGACAGTTGACACAGAGGCCTCACTTTGAACCCTATTGCATTAACTTCATATTACGATGTGAGATCATGTTATGTTCATTTGCCACAGAGCCAGGCTCTGATTTGCCATTGTAGTACTTCAGCTTTTCACTGCAACTGATCCACAGGGGTTTAGAAGCTACATGTACTAACTATTATTATACTGTATGTGTTGACAATTGGCACAGGAAGTGTCTACATGTCCAGATTATAATGACTGGTGTAGAAGTAAGTTTACCTGCAGAATCAGCAGCATTTGTGTGATGGCTTGGGGGACTGTGGCAATGGGTAGTATGTCTTCTAGGGAGAGCTTCAACAGGACCAGGTCTCTGAAGCCCAGTAGAGTCATCTGTCTGACAGTAAGCTCCTGACCCTGCACTCACACAGGGAAAAAAACACACAAACTAATGATGTTCATGAGGGATGAGATTTGATGGCAACATCGCAGTAAAGGGCTGGTAGGACTTCAAGATGCCAAAGAAACGAAAGAGTATGGCAAGAGGCAGAGGCTTTAATTGAGAGAGGGAAGGAGAGAGAGAAAGAGAGGTCTGACCCTACACTGACAGGGGCAGCGAGAGGATTGTCCCTGTCTGGCTATGTGCAGTAGTAAGAGCAGCCAGTTTTGGAATTAAGCCAGGACGGCAGGATTAATAACACCCCTACTGTATAAACCAAGTGCCATGGGATTTGTACTGACCACTGAGGGTCAGGCAGTCGGTTTAAAGTCTCAGCGAAAGGACGGCCTGTATGTTGGCAGTACCTGAACAGGATAGAATATAGCCTGGAGCGTGGGCAAGATTCCAGTGAAGAACCTGACCCACATCTCGGACAGGATGAGGAGTTGACTGTCACCTGAGGAGAAAAAGAGGGACAAATTAACCACCATTAGATGACGCTGTGACAAATGGAACGGATCTAAGTTCTTTCACTGAGTCTGAAAACATTGGACAGGCGGAAAGCAATATGGCACTTGGATTTTTACTATTTAATTGTTTTTTACACATAATGCTTTCAGATGCATGGAGATTGGACATATGAAAGGAGGGCATATTGCCAACTGAGACCTTGGGAAAATACCCTGACCATTTTGCTGGAAACAAAGTAACTTCCTTAAATGTAAATGCACTCTACCCAAATTGTTTGCAACGTTTCATGGAGCAGACGGCACACTTACCCTCATTTAGTCTAATCTTCTCCAGAATATGTGACAGGCCTTTGGTCAAGAGTTGATTCTAGGACAAATTGTAAGAAAGAAAGAGCACATGTTCGAAACTTATGTTTTTAAATTCAAGGAAACGATAACAGTTTCAAGTTTTCTTCCATGGCGACATGGCTGAGGCCGATGACTCTATTCAAATCTACATGAGGGACATCTGGTGTGCAAATGAAATGCATCTCACATGCCAGTTGGTGTAATGTTGCTGAGAGGAGGTGTTCATTTTTGTCCTATCCAAAACACATAGAAAAGGGGATATTTATAACCCACGTTCAGAATGAACAGGTTTCAACCCCCTTAAAAGAGTCAGTTCTATGCTGATAGAATAATTGATCAACAAATGCACAGAAAAGCACTAAGCAAAACAAAATCTGCTCATTGCATATAGAGGCGCTGGTAAGTCAATGTGTTGCGTAACACCTCAACTAACACTGCAATGGAACACACACTTCCACTTCTGATTGGAGGCTTGATGGATTAAAAAAAGTCATTTGACCATTGCTCAACTCAGTGGCAGAGCCCCACCTGTGTTGAGCCCCAACTGTTTAGCCTGTTTTGTATGTTATTTTGGCATTAATACGTGTCACATATCAGTTTGCAAACAATGTAAAAACATTAAAACATCTTTGAATTAATAAAGCCACATACAAACATGTTCTCTTTTTGATGCAGGTGTTTCAGCCTAGCTCAGTGCTTTCTGTGGTGGTGGGGCAGCCAGCGGAAAATAAGGAGTGTAGGGGTTGGTAATGTTCTCTAGATGCGCCGTGATTGGTTCAGTGTTCTGTCACTCATTGGGACACTACGTAGCCGCAAAATCTACGGGGTTACATTGTGCCCATCCAAGAAGGCTCAAGGTCATTGGCCACAGATAAAAAGACGTCAAATCACGTTATATCTACCGTAGCTTTGATTGGACTGATCATGTCAACATGATACTTTCAAAATCTTAGCTAGCAAGCTAGCAGTCATCATCATGAATCAAGTCAACAATCTACTAGCAAATCCTTTTCAAACCTTGTCATATGAAGAGAAATTATGAAGAGAAATTACAGATAAAACGTATCGGTGCTCATCAGTCATTGGACATAAACATTACACAACAAGTTGGAAAATGCAAATTCAACAATGAGTGGTTTGGAAGGAGTCAGTGGCTAACTGCAAGTATTGCAAAGCAATCACTAGCCTGCTATTCAGTGTAGCGGGTGTGTGGTCCAAGTCTGGGTTTAAGGGTCTCTTTTCCAAGCTTAAAAGGATAAATATTCAACACCATGGGCCAGAAAAGGTTGAATACATTGGCCATGCTGTCAATCCAGCATGACTTCTGCCGAGTTCAAAACAACTAGAAACTCGGAACTGGGAAATCTCAGACTTCAGTGAGTTCAAGACAACTGGGAACTCTGGAAAAAAACGAGCTCCGACTGACGAGTTTCAGAAGAAAGTTATTTGTTTCTGGCCATCTTGAGCATGTAATCGAACCCACAATTGCTGATGCTCCATATACTCAACTAGTCTCAAGAAGGCCAGTTTTTATTGCTTCTTTAATCAGCACAACGGTTTTCAGCTGTGCTAACATAATTGCAAAAGGGTTTTCTAATGATCAATTAGCCTTTTAAAATGATAAACTTGGATGAGCAAACACAACATGCCATTGGAACACAGGACTGATGGTTGCTGATAATGGGCCTCTGTACGCCTATGTAGATATTCCTTTTTTTTTTTTTTTTTTATCAGCCGTTTCCAGCTACAATAGCCATTTACAACATTAACAATGTCTACACTGTATTTCTGATCAATTTGATGTTATTTTAATGGACAACATTATAATTTTTTTACTTTCGTAAACAAGGACATTTCTAAGTGACCCCTAACTTTGGAACGGTAGTGTATATATGCACCTTCATGTGCATTATAACTATTCCTTTGATCATTTTGGGTGGTGAATCTACAGTACATGCAAGAGGGGAAAGGGCATACCTGGAAGTACTCTGTGATGAACGAGCCCAACTCTGTCTTCAGGAGCCATCTAAAAGGACACAGAACAATGGGACATTAGCTAATAACGTGAAAGAAAAACATTGATTTAAAACGCACTTTATAAAAGTATTGACATACAGTGGTGCCCTAACTCAAAGGTGGTATAAACAATTTGATATCTCCTTTCCATTCTGTTGACTCCACTAAGGCCCTTATCTATCAAGGGTTACAAGAGCAAAACAAGGAGGTCCCCAAAGCTTCCTGCGTGAAGTCACAAAGCTCGTACAGAGTACGCCTATCTAGACGGTCAATTCAGCCTTACCTGATGCTCTCATTGAGGGTGTAAAGCTCATTGGCCTGCAACCCTCCACCCTGGAACACTTTGATCACGGCTGTTTGGACGCTAAGGGACAGAAACACAGGCAAGGATCAGGTCAGAGCTCATAGGTTAGGTCAGAGGGCATAGGTGAGGGCGTCTCAACTGCCTGGCAAATGGGAAGCTCTGGCTGAGACCGACAGGACAGTATTTAAACTTTCTGAAAGATGGCTGATTGTGATAGATGATGGTGATTAGGTTGCCTTGTTTTGTCTAATAAGTCAATCATACACTTAGTATACCAAACATTAGGAACACCTTCCTAATATTGAGTTGCATCCCTTTGCCCTCAGAAAAGCCTAAATCCGTCGGGGCATGGACTCTACAAGGTGTTGAAAGCATTCCACAGGGATGATGGCCTATGTTGACTCCAATGCTTCCTACAGTTGTGTCAAGTTGGCTGGATGTCCTTTGGATGGTGGACCATTCTTGATAGACACGGGAAACTGTTGAGTGTGAAAAACCCAGCAGCGTTGCAGTTCTTGACACAAACTGGTGCGCCTAGCACCTACTACCATAACCCGTTTAAAGGCACTTAAATATTTTGTCTTGCCCATTCACCCTCTGAATGGCACACATACACAATCCATGTCTCAATTGTCTCAAGGCTTAAAGATCCTTCTTTAACCTGTCTCATCCCCTTCATCTACGCTGATTTAAGTGGATTGAACAAGTGACATTAATAAGGGATCTTGTCTTTCACCTGGATTCACCTGTTCAGTCTATATCATGGAAAGAGCATGTGTCCTTAATGTTTTGTATGCTCAGTGTATGTCTTGAGTCATGTTAATTACTTCTTTTTTTTTTACTTCTTTTGATAACAACCTACCGTGGAGAATTAGTGCCATGCAACATTTTCTGAATATGAATTCTCAAATGTAGCCTCCTTATGAAAAGAGGTGTGAAATATGATGCATTTTGCAACAGGGAGGCATGGACATACTGTAAACAGTGAAAACCAGGGATCCATTTGAAGCCCCTATGCAGATTGATAATATTGTCATAACATGACATAACATATTGTCATAACATGGCCTTGGGTGTTTTCATAAACCCTTTCATTGTGCAGCAAAGCTGTGTAAAGGCACTGTCCAGAATCAACCCCTAGTCCGTACCCTCTGGGCACTTTTGTAGAGCTGAAGGAATTAGATAGGAAAATAGGGCTTGCGAAAACCTTGCATTGGCCTTTTGTTCTAGTTTAGGGCACTCCGCTATCAGATCAAAACAGTGCAGCGTGCCATTGTGCCTTCAGCCCTTCGCTGTGGAGGACTGTGCCGTTCAAGAGGTGGCGGCAGCAGGTGACCTACGGAAAGACCCCCTGCTTTCGGTGGACAAAGAGCACGCCAAGTGCGTCAGTGGCACCTCTGGGGTTTAGCGGAAGTGACCTCTGAGCAGCCGAAGCGTTCGCTGCCCCATCCGCTTCCCACAAAACATCCTGTCAAATGCTCTATTCACTTCCTGAGAGAAGTGGAGGGGGGAGAGCAGTCTGACACATTCCCATACCAAAATAAAGGGTTAGCGTCCGCTTCCGTAGTGAATGTGTTCAAAAACGCCAGCTTAACAGTACTATCCACACCTTTTGCAGATAAAGAGTGATGGGGTGGTCAGAGAGGAAAGACATAATCGCAGGGCTTCCTGCTCCAACCAGGACACTTACTAACATATTCATACCCCATATCCTTTATAAACTTCCTGGTGGGATTCCAACATTATTTTCCCTGTCATTTCCTATCATGTTCTCTTTGGACATTTTAGGGAAATAAAGTGAGCCACAAAGAGATATAATATGGTTTGGTCAAACTGTATCAAATCTAGTTGCTTCCCATTTGAAAGCAAACCGAAGTCAGTTTAGTATCTAATGGATGGTATGGACCCTCTGTCAGATATGTTTAAAAAGATAAATGTGTTTCACACACTCAAACACACACATTTAAAAGCAGTGTTGGATGTGGTTCACACAGATGAGGAGGCTCACCCACCTATTCCAGACGCTGGTGTTGGACAGCTGCAGGCCGGCCGAGCTGGCGTGGAAGCGTGCGAGGTCCGTCAGCACGGGCGAGCTCATGAAGCGAGGGCGGGGCCGCCGAAAAGATCCCATCATGCACCAGGCCTGCAGAGAACACAAGTCAGTGGTTAATAATGGCTATTCAATAGGGCACAACTGAAAGTTCATGACATTGCAAAAAGTATCATTTATCCTGCGGTATAGAAGTGTGTGTATGAGCTATACTGTCCATTCCCGCCTCCAATGCTAAAGCCTTTAATTCTACTGAACAGACCCCGTGGATGAAAGGGAAACATGGCGTGACATTGTGAAAGTTTCAGAACCAACAGTCACTGGCGTAGCCGAAGAGTCAAACCGAAATACTTTGGCTACAACACTCACACAAAATGTGTTTGTGTGTGTACAGTAAACCGCTCCGGTGAGAGAGTGAGTTGACTAAGTGAAACCGTGGCTGAGGGGAAGACGCCTATGTTGTCTCAATACGAGAGCGCCTGAATCATTCCGAAAGCAGCGAGGTGGTGAACCCCTGATGTGCAGTCATGTCAACTTCCTCTCGTCCATTAGCTTCCTGCCTTACTGCTCTAACCCAAACCTCAGTACTGTTTACAACGCAAACTGTGCCCTAATGAAAGGGCCAACCGCCAACAGCCTGGGTTGGTTTGGTAAGAGAAGAGTGGCTAAGCTAGGCTACACTAGGCTAGTAATAAGCGCCTGAGAACAGCAGTTTAATGGGATTCGGTGTTCTGCAGTTATATGGATAGCTTGTGATCCAGGCCCCAAAAATAATACTGTGTCGACAGCTTGGTAAACTAAAATGAGATGATGAGGGACAAGGTGACAGGAGGCAGGCCATCGCACAGCTTTTAGACTCAAGTCACTCACTGTCAGAGAGAGCAGGAAGCCCACATGAAGGGGAAGGGAGGGTGGTGAATGCCACCAAATGTTGTAAACAACGCACATGCGCTCTTTCCCACACACAGAAAAGGCACTCATGCACAAGTTGGCCTGGTATACAAACAAACACACAAAGACTTGCACAAACACAAGCTGGCAAACACCTACGGTACACATTTGACTCTACTCTATCTCTAAGTATCCCTACCTCCCCAATTTACTGTAGAATGAGAGAAGATGCAACAGCACCCACCACTCCTTTAAAGAGGGGCAATGCCTAATATTCAATATATGTGGGCCAACCCTTGCTTGCGTGAAAGAATTGGTTAAGATTTACGCATGTGTTATGACCAGCTCAGTTGGGCCTGTCTGTGTACAAATGAATGAGAGAGAGAATGAGAGCGAGAGCGAGAGAGAAAGAGAGAGTGTGTACGTGTCCTCATCAAGTGCAGACCCAAAATTAGACAGAACATCGAAAAGCTGAAAATGAAAGATTATTCTGCACCCGCTTTTTTTCTCTGGCCTTCGTGCTCTGTTCGGCGTCCCCTCTAATGCTGTCCCTTTGTGCGCTCCACTGAGGGTAGCCTGGCAACGCTAAATAAGTATTTAGCAATCACCTCTCTCTCTGTTCTCTGTTTGGCAGACCAGATGAAAATAAACAATAGCATGCTTGTGTGCACCCACCCTGGATGCTTCCATTTGCCCTGATCCAAGAAGAAATCAGAGCAAGGGTTTGTGGGGCACTCTGCAACATGAGGGCTATTAGCCACCTGAGTCGCCCTAATTGAGACTAGGATAGTGGGCACTATGAATCTACAGTGGGGAAAAAAAGTATTTAGTCAGCCACCAATTGTGCAAGTTCTCCCACTTAAAAAGATTAGAGGCCTGTAATTTTCATCAAAGGTACACGTCAACTATGACAGACAAAATGAGAGAAAAAAATCCAGAAAATCACATTGTAGGATTTTTAATGAATTTATTTGCAAATTATGGTGGAAAATAAGTATTTGGTCAATAACAAACGTTTCTCAATACTTTGTAATATACCCTTTGTTGGCAATGACACAGGTCAAACGTTTTCTGTAAGTCTTCACAAGGTTTTCACACACTGTTGCTGGTATTTTGGCCCATTCCTCCATGCAGATCTTCTCTAGAGCAGTGATGTTTTGGGGCTGTCGCTGGGCAACACAGACTTTCAACTCCCTCCAAAGATTTTCTATGGGGTTGAGATCAGGAGACTGGCTAGGCCACTCCAGGACCTTGAAATGCTTCTTACGAAGCCACTCCTTCGTTGCCCGGGCGGTGTGTTTGGGATCATTGTCTTGCTGAAAGACCCAGCCACGTTTCATCTTCAATGCCCTTGCTGATGGAAGGAGGTTTTCACTCAAAATCTCACGATACATGGCCCCATTCATTCTTTCCTTTACACGGATCAGTCGTCCTGGTCCCTTTGCAGAAAAACAGCCCCAAAGCATGATGTTTCCACCCCCATGCTTCACAGTAGGTATGGTGTTCTTTGGATGCAACTCAGCATTCTTTGTCTTCCAAACACGACGAGTTGAGTTTTTACCAAAAAGTTATATTTTGGTTTCATCTGACATGCTCCCAATCCTCTTCTGGATCATCCAAATGCACTCTAGCAAACTTCAGACGGGCCTGGACATGTACTGGCTTAAGCAGGGGGACACGTCTTGCACTGCAGGATTTGAGTCCCTGGCGGCGTAGTGTGTTACTGATGGTAGGCTTTGTTACTTTGGTCCCAGCTCTCTGCAGGTCATTCACTAGGTCCCCCTGTGTGGTTCTGGGATTTTTGCTCACCATTCTTGTGATCATTTTGACCCCACGGGGTGAGATCTTGCGTGGAGCCCCAGATCGAGGGAGGTTATCAGTGGTCTTGTATGTCTTCCATTTCCTAATAATTGCTCCCACAGTTGATTTCTTCAAACCAAGCTGCTTACCTATTTCAGATTCAGTCTTCCCAGCCTGGTGCAGGTCTACAATTTTGTTTCTGGTGTCCTTTGACAGCTCTTTGGTCTTGGCCATAGTGGAGTTTGGAGTGTGACTGTTTGAGGTTGTGGACAGGTGTCTTTTATACTGATAACAAGTTCAAACAGGTGCCATTAATACAGGTAACGAGTGGAGGACAGAGGAGCCTCCTAAAGAAGAAGTTACAGGTCTGTGAGAGCCAGAAATCTTGCTTGTTTGTAGATGACCAAATACTTATTTTACACCATAATTTGCAAATAAATTCATTAAAAATCCTTCAATGTGATTTTCTGGAGAATTTTTTTTCTCATTTTGTTTGTCATAGCTGACGTGTACCTATGATGAAAATTACAGGCCTCTCTCATCTTTTTAAGTGGGAGAACTTGCACAATTGGTGGCTGACTAAATACTTTTTTTCCCCACTGTATACTTTCAAAATGCATCCATAAATACATTGTTTATCACAGATCTGTACGTGACTGGATAGTAGTGGTAGTAGGGCAATTCCATTGTAACCGAATGACGCTGAGATTATTTTTTTCACTTTAAAAGTATGCCAAACAAAAACCATTGGTTACAAAGTCAAAGAAACCATACAACTCTATGCACAAGGACTACTTTTAACAATTTCCACTGTTACGGGTTATGTTCAGCACACAACGGTTTTCTTTCTCTTTCTGTCACGTGGTGGTCAAAGCTAGAGTGTGAAAACAGTCTGGCCAACCTTTCCCTTTCTCTCTCTCCCTAGTTAACGTCACCTCTCCCAGCTCTTACTGACATCTACCCACGAGCCCCCTCTCTTTCCATTTACTGTAACCAGCCCCCTCACCCACTGAGCACTGACCGATACCGGACCTCCATGGACATTGAAAAGTAGTTGAAATTTGGTCAGTCCAAATCTGAACCAATCATAGATGTCTTTTTCACAAGTTTGGACAGCACCGTACAGTACAGTACAGTACGGTAAAGAAATGTAGAGTGGAGTATAGGTCAGTACAATATATAGAGTAGAGTTTGGTACAGTACAGTAGAGTACAATAGAGTAGTTAGAGTACAGTATAATTTACTCTACTCTACTGTGCTGTACTGAGCTGTACTGAACTCTACTCTACTGTGCTGTACTGTACTGCAGTGTGCTCTACTGTGCTGTACTGTGATGTCTAGACCTGTGAAACATATACGTCTATGATTGGTACAGACTTGTTTCCGGTCCTGACCAACCAAATTTGGTCTTGTTTGGGGCTGGAGTTCATTAGAATAATAGCCAGTGTGTAGAATAATACCCAAACATGCAAAGGTGGATATTACATGTTCTACCTTTGTGTACCTATTCAGGATACATCACCATGAAGAGAATGACTTTCATAATTATGTATTTCTGTATAGTACAGATCAGGGACTCATGACGTCATTCTGTTACCATCATTCTGTTATCATAACAGAATGATGGTAACCGAATCTACTCTATCGTGCTCTACTGTACTGTACCAAACTCTACTGTATATATTGTACTGACCTATACTCCACTCTACATTTCTTTACCGTACTGTACTGTACGGTGCTGTCCAAACTTGTGAAAAATACATCTATGATTGGTTCAGATTTGGACTGACCAAATTTCAACTACTTTTCAATGTCCATGGAGGTCCGGTATCGGTCGGTGCTTAGTGGGTGAGGGGGCTGGTTACAGTAAATGGAAAGAGAGGGGGCTCGTGGGTAGATGTCAGTAAGAGCTGGGAGAGGTGATGTTAACTAGGGAGGGAGAGAAAGGGAGAGGTTGGCCAGACTGTTTTCACACTCTAGCTTTGACCACCACGTGACAGAAAGAGAAAGAAAACAGTTATGAGCTGAACATAACAGTATGCCAGTGGAAGGGAGGACAGTAGCAGGTGACGCAACTGAGGTTTGTGACTACTATGAATTCCCATTTTAGCTCATTCAGTTGCAGTCAGAGTTTTTTTGTCAATCTTTTACCGATTTGGTAATTGTGATCAGTAAAAACACTATAAATTGGTAGGTCTACCTTTACTTGTTACATCTGTGAACTTTCATTATCCTCCCTCCTCATGAGGGAGATAAACTTAAAAATATCTTAAATATGTGGGTTTTGGTAACACCATGACAAGACACTAGGCAATTAATTTCTGCAAAACTAAATATAAAATGTTGATATTACCTGGCAGGGGTCTTTACTTCAACATTATTGTGTTTTGATATATTTCTAATACATTTTCAGATTTTTTTCTGCTAGATAATTTCGAAGACCCCTTTTCCATCTGTTTGACCAGAAATCAAAGCCTTTGCTTATTCCTAACTTTTAGGATGTAAAATGGTTTTTAAAAAAGGGGAAAAAAGGCTTATTTCATTTGACACCAAATTTGATGTGCTCCAATGAACTCCACATGTTAGTGCTCATTGGGCTTTTTACATGGAAATGCCCAGTACACAATGGCCCTCTCATCCATCTAACCCTGTCAGACTAGGGCGATATATAGAATACATTTGATTAATTAAAATTTGTTTTTGCGCTATATTCCAAATGCCAGTATCGCAAGAATCAAGTTGTTGTATTTGTTTTATGAGCGTTTATGTCTGTTTATGTTCTCGTGTTGTCTTTTTGGTCTTGTCTCCTTCGCTCCTTCTGTTCTGTTTGCAACAACTGTAGGCTGTGTGCACCGTCCCATTTACACACACAAATCAAGCCCCTCCCACTCACAAAAACAAAGATGAGAGATATTTTCTTCCTCTCTGACAAGCGATTTCAACTCGCTATTTGCATTTGAGGTTTGGTCCAACAGAATCAGTCATTCAGTGCCTTCAGAAAGTATTATTCCACATTTAGTTGTGTTACAGCCTGAATTCAAAATGGATTAAATGCATGTGTTTTCTCACCCATCTACACACAGTATCCCATAATGACAAAGTAAAAACATGCTTTTAGAATTTTATTAAAAATACAGAAATATCTAATTTACATAAGTATTCACACCCCTGAGTCAATACATGTTAGAATCACCTTTGGCAGCGATTACAGATGTGAGTATTTCTGGGTAAGTCTCTAAGAGGTTGCACACCTGGATTGTACAATATTTGCATATTATTCTTTTAAAAATTCTTCAAGCTCTGTCAAGTTGGTTGTTGATCATTGCTAGACAGCCATTTTCAAGTCTTGCCATAGATTTTCAAGCCGATTTAAGTAAAAACTGTAAGTAGGCCACTCAGGAACACTCAATGTCGTCTTAGTAAGCAACTCCAGTGTATATTTGGCCTTGTGTTTTAGGTTATTGTCCTACTGAAAGGTGAATTTGTCTCCCAGTGTCTGGTGGAAAGCAGACTGAACCAGGTTTTCCTCTAGGATTTTGCCTGTGCTTAGCTCTATTCCGTTTCTTTTTATCCCCCCCAAAAACACACAAAAATAACAACATGCTTGGTACTCAGTGATGTGTTGTGTTGGATTTGCATTCAGGACATAATATTCATTTATTTGCGGTTTTACTTTAGTGTCTTATTGCAAACAGGATACATGTTTTGGAATATTTGTATTCTGTACAGGCTTCATTCTTTTCACTCTGTCATTTAGATTAGTATTAGTTTCTCCTATCACAGCCATTAAACTCTGTAACTGTTTTAAAGTCACCATTGGCCTCATGGTGAAATCCCTGAGCGGTTTCCTTCCTCTCTGGCAACTGAGTTAGCAAGGACGTCTGTATCTTTGTAGTGACTGGGTGTATTGATACACCATCCATATTGTAATTAATAACTTCACCATGCTGAAATGGATATTCAGTGTCTGCTCTATTTTTTCTTCTCCCATCTACCAATAGGTGCCCTCCCTGGCCTTTGTGGTTGAATCTGTGTTTGAAATTCACTGCTCGACTGAGGGACCTTACAGATAATTGTGGGGTACAGAGAGATTATTGCTGACTGTCTGAAATGCAGTGTATTTGACCTGTAATTGGACAACAAAACTTATTTAGAGAAACAATTGTTTTTAAATTGAGATATATATCGTGAGTCGCCCATAAGTTAGGAAAAAATTGAGATATGATTTTTAGACCATATCGCCCAGCCCTATGTAAGAGTAGTGATCACTTTAAGAAGGGGATGTACTGTTTTCTTTTAAATGCTTTGCCACATATCCTTCATTCGCCACTGATCCAAAATTACTAATGAAAAGGAGAGAGACATGGGAGACACCTATCCATTGCTTTTACTCATGAAAAAGTGTGTGTATCAGAGAATGGACATAAACTGGGAATAATGCTGATCTTCAGTCAGTCTGGACTAAAGCCAAATATTTATTGATCGAGGAACATCTGTTGGTTTCTCAGAGGCTTGTTGAATGGGGCTAGTGTGTTAGTATGTAAGCTACATGTTACAAATGCACAGACACACACAGCTCTTATCATCTAAAAGACCATCACAGTCAAGGGAAACTACTCAGTGATGTTAATGCAATTCAAGATGTAACATCATTGCTTGTAGATGCAGTTTGTTGTTAGGCTGGGTGAATGTTTGGGACTACTGTTTTAGATCAACTGTTAACACATTAAAGCTTTTCTCTTTGAATCAGCACCGGCACTCTATTTCCACAGGCTTGGTGACACCAAAACGTGATATTTACCTTGCCTCTTTGCCTAAGTACTGCCTTCAGTGACCTTCTAAAGATCTAATGCCTTGCCTAATCAGCAGTAGGAGTTACTAGTAAGGCAATTATTTCCTGAGAGGAGTGTCACACACACACAAGCAGGTTGCAATGCCTGTCAGCTTAGTGTCAACCACCTTTACTGTACTTTCCTATAAAGGTGCATCTAACTGCTGCAACCGGGACTCAGGGGTAGACGTAACATAGTAAATGTAAATATGTCTCCTTCATTTAGTATGGTATGTATTAATTTGTGGAGGTCCATCTTCCATCTCGTATGATATGTTGAGAATTACAATTCATATAATATGTTACGAATTGCAATTCGTACAATATGTTACGAATTTGCAATTCGTATATGTTATCAATTCCAATTTGTTGTGGCTAACATTAGCTAGGTGGCTAATGTTAGTTAGGTGGCTACAATTAGCGAGGCTAGGGGTTAGGGGTTAAGGTTAGGGTAAAGGTCAGGGTTAGGGGAATGGTTAGCTAACGTGCTAAGTATATTGAACAAAAATATAAACGCAACATTCAACAATTTCAAATTTTTTACTGAGTTACAGTTCATATAAGGAAATCAGTCAATTGAAATAAATAAATTAGGCCGTAATCTATGGATTTCACGACTGGGCAGGGACGCAGACATGGGTGGGCCTGGGAGGGCATAGGTCCACCCTCTTGGGAGCCAGACCCAGCCAATCAGAATGAGTTTTTCCCCACAAAAGGGCTTTATTAAAGACAGAAATACTCCTCAGTTTCATCATCTGTCCAGGTGGCTGATCTCTTACGATCCCGCAGGTGATGAAGCCGGATGTGGAGGTCCTGGGCTGGCGTGGTTACACGTGGTCTGCGGTTGTGAGGCCGGTTGGACATACTGGCAAATTCTCTAAAATGACATTGGAGGTGGCTTACAGTAGAGAAATGAACATTCAATTCATTTCAGTCCTGCAGTCAGCATGCCAATTGCACACTCCTTCAAAACTTGAGACATCGATGGCATTGTATTGTGTGACAAAACTGCACATTTTAGAGTGGGCTTTTATTGTACCCAGCACAAGGTGCACCTGTGTAATTTCTTGATATGCCACACCTGTCAGGTGGATTAATTATCTTGGCAAATGAGAATTGCTCACTAACAGGGATGTAATGATATTTGTGCACACAATTTGAGGGAAATAAGCTTTTTGTGCATATGGAAAGTTTCTGGGATCTTTTATTTCAGTTCATGAAACACGGGACCAACACTTTACATGTTGCGTTTTTATTTTTCTTCAGTATAGTTGCAAAGTAGCTAAAAAGTAAGTAGTTGCAAAGTTGCTAATTAACTAAAATTGTCCGTGATGAGATTTGAACACGCAACTTTTGGGTTACTAGACATTTACGTTATACCAAACGTAACATATCATAGTAATTTGGTGTCCGGGACATAATACTAATAATATTCCATTTAACAGATGCTTTTATCCAAAGCGACTTACAGTCATGTGTGCATACATTTTTTCGTATGGGTGGTCCCGGGGATCGAACCCACTACCCTGGCGTTACAAGCGCCATACTCTACCAATTGAGCTACAGAGGACTTACATTTACTATGTCACTATTAGTCTATGAGACCAGGCTGAACTACCAAGGAGTAAGAGGCAGCATGCTCAATCCTGCAAAATGCAGGTGGGAGATGTTATTCAATGGTTTTGAGTTCATTTTCGACATATTTATGCAGTTTTTATTGCTACCTGTGGGTGAACTAAACATGTAGACGTTCAATGACACACACACACACGCACACGCATTTGGGAAGAAGCTTCAAGATGGCTTTAGAAGTAGGCTGGGCTAATTTGAATATATGTTGTAAACAAACATATTTTAAACCGTATCTTACCTTTTACAAGCACTCTTCAACTACTCTTCAGTTTCCGTGTGTCTAGTGCACAGAGGCGTCCTTGTGGCGACAATTTCAAATTCGTGTATAAAGCATGTGTAGCCTATACGTCTTTGAACTAGCAAATTATGAAATTCAACCTATTGAAAGGTCCTTTGGGTTTCAATGGTCTGAGTCTCGTCGTCTAATAATTTAGCCCATAAAGAGTTGCATTAGCTTGAAGGCTATATTTGCTATATCTGCTACTTTCTACTACAAAGTATCGGGCGACTCTGGCGCTTACAAGTGTGACTGTGATCAATACACATCTATAGTGTTCGCTCATTCTCTCTTGGTGCCTGTCCCTCCTCCTCGACACCGATTGTTACGGAATACTTAACCGTTTAAATATTCATGAAGTGATCAGCCCTCTGTGTAAGCGGAAGCATTATAACGGTTTATTATAGCCTAAAATAAAGTAATGCAGTGGGTTGCCGCAGAATTGATAGGGAGTTCTTAGGGAATGGTCGTCTTTAATACAATATTGACTTTCACTAACTTCAACATTAAAAGCAAAGGCCTAGATGCTTCTCAATAATTGTGTTGGAACTATTGCACACTGCAGAGTATACAATTTTTTGTCTAACTACTAGCATTGCAATTTGTATAATATATTATATCAAATTATACTATTCATTACACAATCCAACTGCAGGCTTCATCTAGGATTAATGAAGTCAGGTACTGACTTGTCACAAATTTAATGTGAAGCAATGCAATTTTGCCTACCAATATAATTTCAATTTATAGGCCTAACAAAACCAAATTTCTAAACACTCCACTATCACCATAAATGTTGATGCAACTAGGCCTAAACATATCGTATTTTTTCAATCCATTATTATTGTGCAATCCTAAAAGATAAACATTTAAACTTCAAAGTGTTGTGATTTTGATAAGAGTAGAATGAAACAGGGTGATATAAACTCAATCCATTTTTTCCACCATGACCAAACAATAAATCCCTTGATTCTCTCAAAATAATTTGCTTCCTGACATCTACCTGACAGTTTACCATGTCAACGTGAAGTTCGAGACTCTTGAATATGCTCAAGACAGTCCCCATTGAGGGAATCATCATGTTGATTGTCAGTCAAGAAAAAGGATCAGGCTAAAATGAATTGGACAGTGCTGATCCTTTATAATCACTTCAGTAAGAGCCTTTTTTGGTCTACAGTGCCCCATTTTAATAGTTAAGCTACAGCACAAAAATGGTCAACACAACATAGGCCTAATGCCTGCAGTCTGTTCACTAAAATGTTTTGAACTAAAACATATTCCTACCAATCACCCTCCAAACACATATCCCAACCAACCAAAAGTATTTTAATTGCAAGATACTAGTATCTAAGCCTTTATACTTAGGCATGAACGAATCCACATATTTTCAGAAATGTATCATATCTGTAGTCATTTCCTGATTATTTATGTATCCATATTTTTATTATTTTTATAATTTCAATAGATATCCTAACATGATATGTAATATTCATCCTTGTATGTCTGATCGAAAATGGGCTAAATCCGACTAATGAAAGGCCCAGCTGACAAATTATTTTACCTGTTCAGGCGCCCGAAAATCATTGTGCTTCTTCACATGAAGGTGACATACAGTGGGGAAAAAAAGTATTTAGTCAGCCACCAATTGTGCAAGTTCTCCCACTTAAAAAGATGAGACGCCTGTAATTTTCATCATAGGTACACGTCAACTATGACAGACAAAATGAGATTTTTTTTCTCCAGAAAATCACATTGTAGGATTTTTAATGAATTTATTTGCAAATGATGGTGGAAAATAAGTATTTGGTCAATAACAAAAGTTTCTCAATACTTTGTTATATACCCTTTGTTGGCAATGACACAGGTCAAACGTTTTCTGTAAGTCTTCACAAGGTTTTCACACACTGTTGCTGGTATTTTGGCCCATTCCTCCATGCAGATCTCCTCTAGAGTAGTGATGTTTTGGGGCTGTCGCTGGGCAACACGGACTTTCAACTCCCTCCAAAGATTTTCTATGGGGTTGAGATCTGGAGACTGGCTAGGTCACTCCAGGACCTTGAAATGCTTCTTACGAAGCCACTCCTTCGTTGCCCGGGCGGTGTGTTTGGGATCATTGTCATGCTGAAAGACCCAGCCACGTTTCATCTTCAATGCCCTTGCTGATGGAAGGAGGTTTTCACTCAAAATCTCACGATACATGTCCCCATTCATTCTTTCCTTTACACGGATCAGTCGTCCTGGTCCCTTTGCAGAAAAACAGCCCCAAAGCATGATGTTTCCACCCCCATGCTTCACAGTAAGTATGGTGTTCTTTGGATGCAACTCAGCATTCTTTGTCCTCCAAACACGACGAGTTGAGTTTTTACCAAAAAGTTATATTTTGGTTTCATCTGACCATATGACATTCTCCCAATCCTCTTCTGGATCATCCAAATGCACTCTAGCAAACTTCAGACGGGCCTGGACATGTACTGGCTTAAGCAGGGGGACACGTCTCGCACTGCAGGATTTGAGTCCCTGGCGGCGTAGTGTGTTACTGATGGTAGGCTTTGTTACTTTGGTCCCAGCTCTCTGCAGGTCATTCACTAGGTCCCCCCGTGTGGTTCTGGGATTTTTGCTCACCGTTCTTGTGATCATTTTGACCCCACGGGGTGAGATCTTGCGTGGAGCCCCAGATCGAGGGAGATTATCAGTGGTCTTGTATGTCTTCCATTTCCTAATAATTGCTCCCACAGTTGATTTCTTCAAACCAAGCTGCTTACCTATTGCAGATTCAGTCTTCCCAGCCTGGTGCAGGTCTACAATTTTGTTTCTGGTGTCCTTTGACAGCTCTTTGGTCTTGGCCATAATGGAGTTTGGAGTGTGACTGTTTGAGGTTGTGGACAGGTGTCTTTTATACTGATAACAAGTTCAAACAGGTGCCATTAATACAGGTAACGAGTGGAGGACAGAGGAGCCTCTTAAAGAAGAAGTTACAGGTCTGTGAGAGCCAGAAATCTTGCTTGTTTGTAGGTGACCAAATACTTATTTTCCACCATAATTTGCAAATAAATTCATAAAAAATCCTACAATTTGATTTTCTGGAGAAATAAATTCTCAGTTTGTCTGTCATAGTTGACGTGTACCTATGATGAAAATTACAGGCCTCTCTCATCTTTTTAAGTGGGAGAACTTGCACAATTGGTTGCTGACTAAATACTTTTTTCCCCACTGTATCTGAGCATCCATTTGCACCATATTCAGTAGTAGGCTATACAAGGCACGGAAAGGCAAACATTGTCATATTTAATCCAAGTTGCTATTTCCAAAGCACATCTCTGCAATTTCTGTTTAAAAAATGCAGAATAGCAAATCCCGAGCTCCAATCTCAACACATGTTTTCTGTAAAGATGCAAACATAGGCCAATACTTGCTAAAAATGTATTTTATTTATTTAACGGAAAATAAAAGTTGCACAACATCAATACCACTGCCTGCCCTGTTTGTTAAGGTGGATGGGTGCAGATTGGCTCGTCAGCGGCGGTCCCTCGCAGTCCAGACCCAACGTGGTCTGTGATCCACTCCAAACTGTCAGTGCATAAATTAAGAATCAAAATTGTGTCGACATTGCAATAAAATATTGTCATTTCACCTAACCATACCACAAGGTAGCTACTCTAACTGCTTCATTCATGATGAGAAAACTAACTGGAACAAGCTAGCTAGCTAGCCAAGTTGCAAGTTAGCTACCTAAATTAGTTAGCTAGCTATCTTATATTAACCACTAATACAATATACACCTAAACATTTAAAAACTGGATTTCATATTAGTCACATTATTGAGCGTGTGCTGAAAACTCAGAAATGCATCAAAAATTGTCCTATTTTCAGGATTTCAAAAAGCATATCAAGATCTTGATATGGACCTCAGTCAAGAGAAGCATTTCTGGAATCAATATAGCTTATTATTTTACATTGTACATTTTAGTCATTTAGTAGACGCTCTTATCCAGAGCGACTTACAGTTAGTGAATGCATACATTTTCATACTTTTTCATATTATCTTGAATGTACTGAGGAAACACAGATATGCAATGTATACAGTCAGTATTTGTCAACATGAAGATAGAAAATAGGATGTCGCATATCTCAAGTCCATAGGAAATGTCCATGTGTGATATCCGGAGTAATCCCAATTTCTAAAAGACACATCTGGATTCAGAATTTGTCAGGATATGGTGCATATCCACAAAATATGCATTGGAATTGGTCTGTATTCTCTAGAATATCAAAAACGTGTTATGTAAAGATATCTCCTGATATGGACCCTTTTTGCCCAGTGTGTAGGCTGCTATTCTACTTTAAATAAAAAATAATGGCCGGGAAAAAATGGCCACTTTAGCTATTGCCTGTGATACTGTGATACAGCTGCCCAGTGGGAAGCACCCATAGAGAATGATAGAGGCCTCTAGTTGCCAAAAGTCCGTTTTAGCATGGGCAGTGCTATTGATGGCTTCCACCATGCTTCCACCATTTTAAAGTAGTCAACTGGGTGGAGATTCATATGGGTACTAGCCTCAATGGTGCTCCCCATGCTGTCACAGACGCTATAATGGCACAGATATAAAGTTGAGCCTTCTATCTATCTCTATGGAAGCACCTCCAGTCGGCAACCAGCTCCATACAACGCCAGTGCACTATTCATTCGCACTGGTTTATCAACTCGTCAAGCAGCCCAATCAGCCATGCAAAACGGTCTTGAGTGGCAACAAATCTGCCCAATTAGCTGATTTTCTTTCCATACACCCACTCCTTTCAACACACCGACTCGCCCATACTCCGATCGCCATATTGGGCAGCTACCCATACCAAAGATGGTGGATAAATGAAGATAGTTCACTCATGCTGTTTACCATTTTAAAAAATTGTAAGTTCCGGTCTAGACTGGAACATGTTCCGGGATTCTTCAGACAGCATTGAGGAGTACACCACATCAGTCACTGGCTTCATCAATAAGTGCATTGATGATGTCGTCCCCACAGTGACCGTACGTACATACCCCAACCAGAAGCCATGGATTACAGGAAACATCCGCACTGAGCTAAAGGGTAGAGCTGCCGCTTTCAAGGAACGGGACTCTAACCCGGACGCTTATAAGAAATCCCGCTATGACCTCCGACAAACCATCAAACAGGCAAAGAGTCAATACAGGTCTAAGATTGAATCATACTACACTGGCTCTGACGCTCGTCGGATGTGGCAGGGCTTGAAAACTATTACAGACTACAAAGGGAAGCACAGCCGCGAGCTGCCCAGTGACACAAGCCTACCAGACGAGCTAAACCACTTC